ATAACCCTGGACACCAGTACAGATTAGGGGTGGACCTGCTGGAGAGCAGTCCCGCAGAGAGGGACCTGGGTGTCATGGTGGACGACAAGTTGACCATGAGGCAGCAGTGTGCCCTGGTGGCCAAGAAGGCCAACGGGATCCTGGGGTGCATTAAGAAGAGCGTCTCCAGCAGGTCAAGRGARGTGATCRKCCCCCTMYACWCARCCMTGGTRAGGCCACATCTGGAGTACTGTGTCCAGTTCTGGGCTCCCCAGTACAAGAGGGATGTGGAGCTGCTGGAGAGAGTCCAGCACAGGGCTACCAGGATGATCAGGGGCCTGGAACATCTGCCATATGAGCCAAGGCTGAGGGAGCTGGGCCTGTTCAGCCTGGAGAAGAGGAGGCTGAGGGGGGACCTGATGAGCGTGTATAAATACCTCAAGGGAGGGAGGGAGGAGGAGGGGGGCGGCCTCTTTTCAGTGGTGGACAGGGATAGGACTAGAGGAAATGTCTTCAAACTGAAGCATCGGAAGTTCCACAGGAACTTAAGGAAGCATTTCTTCACTGTGCGGGTGACAAAGCACTGGAACAGGCTGCCCAGAGAGGTTGTGGAGTCTCCTTCTTTGGAGATCTTTAAAACCCGCTTGGATGCAGCCCTGTGCCACGTGCTCTAGGTGACCCTGTGTGTGCAGGGGGGTTGGACTCGATGACCTCTGAGGTCCCTTCCAACCTTGGGCATTCTATGACTCTGTGATATAAGAAAATTTTAAGTATCAAAACATCCAAGATTTAAAAAAAATTAAAAGCCTCACTGTAATTTACGTGAATAAATATTGCAGAGAATATCATGCAAGTATACATAAATGCTCTTTCAAACAGCAAAACCACGTACATCACTTGCACAATAACATATATAATCTAATATCTATTCCACAAATCCAAAGACCCATCTAAGGTTAGACTAGCAGAAACATATCTATAATCTAGTACTATTTTCTCATATTCATATCTATATCTAAGACAGCTAAACCACTGAGATTCGTTATAGTTGTTTTGTTTTTCTGTAATATTTCTTCAGAGTGATTTACAAAATTAAGTAGAAAAAAGGTGTAAAATGTTCATCTGTTCATCTACTTGATCGTTTGTAAAGAATAATATAAGGCTGGCAAGTCAGTGTATATAAAAACACCTGAAACCTGAAGACAGGAAAAAATGGATGATAAGCATGAAAGGCCCATTGCAAGCTATGAGCTATCGTTCTGCAACATTTTACCCTTACCTTGAATTTCATAAAAGAAATGACAAAAGTTGGGATTGCTTGAAGTACTTCCTAGCAATATGAAACATATGGGAACAGAAGGAAAAAGGAAAAAAAAAAAAGAATAAAGAAGCAAATAAAATAAAGCAAGAAGAAAGTCCAAAGAGAATAATACAAGAGCCATCTGTATAAAAATGCATATTACTGTGCATTTAAAATATTAACAGGATCATATCTTTAATGTGTCTAGTGAAGAAATTTTCAAACCAGATCTGATTTCTAAGACTGCTAGTCAGTATATTATCTATCTGGAAAAAGTTACTTACCTTACAGCAACTGTAGTTCTTTGAAATGTGTTGTTTACACATCTCAACACAGGTTCAGATACGCACACATGATCCATGCATTAGAGACCATCTTCCTCTTAGCTCTGGAAATGCATGTATAAAATAGCCTATCCCTTGAAAGCCAAGTAAGGGGCAAGTTTCAATCACTACTTCACCTTTTCCAATGCAAATTCCTTACATTCCATTCCATCAGATTGAAGGGGGCAGAGGGAAGAACAAAAATTTGTGCAGACAACACATTTCAAAGAACTACATTATCTGATGATGGCTGGAGGAGATGAGGAAGAGGGATAGAGCATGGAATTCTTCCTTCCACCTCCTAAAAATCTATCCATATACATTTGCTATCAGGTGGGTTCTAACAAGCCCATCTTACATGTCTGGTCTGATCTTGTATGTATTTGTGTACCTAGAATAGAATCTGTATACAACAGCTCTTAAAACTGAATTTCCATTTATTGTCTAATGAATTATAAGGCCACAAAAAGAGGTCACATGTGATTCACTGCTAATGCTGTGTAATGGGAAAGGGAGAAGTGCTCTCTCATTTAAACAGCTTTTTAGTTTATTTACTTAGTCAAGATGTCAGAATACTCCTCAATAAAAAGAAGAGCAAAATCATATGGATTTTATGATAAAGAAAAGCAGTACATATACTATGATTTCAAATATTTACTTCTATCAGAAAAAAATTGCAAAGTGATAAGCACATGAATAAATAAGTAATTCTTCCTTTTAAAAACAGAATCTATTATCACACATTTCCAAAAGCATTTAAAATCTCTCTGTTGCATTCTTAGGATTTAAATTGTGACTTTACTATTTCTGTTTAGTTAAAAAATACAAATATATCAAGAAAGCTCTTAATTATTTTCAAAATTGGAACATGCTAATGTGGTAGCCTTGCTTAATCTTGTGATTTAATTCATACTTTAATTCTCACCAATCCATAAAAAAATGGCCTGAAAGATGCAAAAGCACCCTGCAGAAAAAAGCCTACAATTTAGTTGATTATGAAACTCTGGGTTGTGATAATTCTTTTCAATTTTCTCCTTAAATAGAAAGCATTTATTGTATAAACATGGAATGCAACATTTTTTATGCTGGATTTTCAACACTAGAACCTCTCTATAAGCATCATGAATAATGTAATATCAATGAATGGGAATGAATGACACTCTTATTTCCAAGGGGATTATCTGGATAACATGTTTTATCTATTTATCCTGCAGCCAGCAGCATCAATGCAATTCCTGGCTTCTTATTCCCCCTATACCTCCTAGAATCATGTAAATTACTATATTAATATTTGTTGGAATTTTCACATGAGCATCTTCCAAATCCACCATAATGATCTTCTTGAAAACTGAAGTACTGAATACTAGAAATATTATGTATTTACAGATTCTTCCTGAGAAGTCATAAGCAACGGAGCCAAGAGTACAAAATAAGCCTCTCACTGTGACATATGACAAAGGGAAAAGGCGTTAAGGAAGGCTTAGACAAAGAAAAGTTTGGTCATTCAAGAGCTTATATCTATCCAATCCCAAATACATGAAAGCATTGCACTGTTGTTTCTAAGAGAATATTTAGGAATTGATTCCAAAGCACATTTACTGCTTTAGGACCTGAGCTCATGCATTACTTAGCAGACTAGCACCATCCGGCCTCTGCCCTATCAGCGCGATCATCCCTTTTTGATTAGAGGTGCAGGAAGCAGGAATTGCCATGCACATTAGGAGTGAGGTATGCAGTACATATGGATCCCTGATGGGGCTGAGACATTCTTGAGATGCAATAGCAGAGTCTGTGTTTTAGTCTGGCTCTCAAAATGCAAGGCACTCCATCACTCATGTGAAAAGGAATATAGTTCTTCCTCAAGAAAGAGGATCAAAAATTATTGCAGTGTCAAACTCATCTTTCTTTGCTCAAAGTTGGAAAGTTATGATTTATGCAGTACAGCATTCACAGAACCTGAGGTTCTATCAGAATACACTTGGATTGCCTTTGGAATATCATCACGGCATCTGAGACGTGATCCAGAACTAAGCATATTAAATAGAAGAATTTGTATTGCCCTCCTGGTAATTTATAGGAGTAGATTATAATTCTAACCTACTGCTGATGTAATCTACCGGTAAATCTGGAGATAATTTGTATCTTCCTCTTTTAGAGACCATGCTGTACTCTCCGAGAGCACAGTCAGAGGCAGGCAGAGCATCTCTGTGAATGGAGAGGCTTTTACCTAGGCTCTCTCCTGCCACTTCTACATAAAGCTCAAAAGAAGGTGGCAAGGTTGCTCCTCTACGTGCAGACCTAACTCAAGGAGCAAAGCAGCCCTAGGAGAGACCCAACTGGGGCTGTTAACAGCAGGAGCCTCCTTATGTGCTGGCTGGGAGGCAGCAGGACTGTCTCTTCCCACCACAAGCTGCAGCAGGAGGCTTGGCCCTCACTCCCTTCTTCTGTAAGGGCCCATCCATCTTCCAGTCAGATGCTCTGGCATGGGCACACTCAGGTTCTCAATGTGATGCTGCAGCAAGGAAAAGTAACTGCTGTACTGTGGAACTGGACAGCAAAACTAATGCTGTCTTTGTCACACCTAGCAAATCACAGAGCCATAAAGAACTAGACTCACTCTTTTGAAAGCTCTTCTACAGCTCTGTAGGGGATCTGAAGCAACACAGAAAGTGCTGCCTCCTTCACCCTTGCTGAGGCTGAGCAGATTGCCTCAGCAGTACTTCCTGCTGTGTGCCATGAAGGAAGTGAATGATAAGAATAACCAAGTGAACCACAATTCCTTGGCATCCCTACGTACAACCATTCTAATGCAAAGCATAAATAGAGCACAAAGCACAAGTAAAGCAAACAAATAATACAAAAAAAGTCATGACTGAAAGCAGCCCTGTAGAGCAAATAATCAAACACTACTGTGCAACAGAACAAAATCTCTGTCAAGACCATAACTGCCTCCCAGGCCAAAACGACCAAAAGTAGGGTCTAAACAATCTCTTAGACTACTTGCTCTTATCCAGCAACACAGTGTAACGGAAGCACAAATGACTCATTGCTTCAGGTAACTTCTTCAGTAATTGCTTCAGTATTTCAATCTTATTACTGTTGTGCTTGAGAAATACTTAGTGCAGTTTAGGATCCACGGGACTGCTACCATTTACCATAACTATTTCTGTTCCTCTTGCCTTCTGATGCTGAAAATGCAAAGATCTCTGCAGGATGACTATTTTCCCGACCCACCAGGAAGCAATACAGCTTCTTTTGCATTCAGTTGGTCTTGTCTAATTTTTTCTATTTGCTTTCATTTTAAATGCTTTTCAGAAAAAAAAATACGATAAAATATAAAAGAACTATGAAAATATTTATAAACCCTCCACCATTATAAGCTCTTTAGAGAAACTTACATCATTCTCTTGTGCATCAGTCACTGTATGATGAAGATCAGGATAGTACTTCAGAAACTGGGCTACATAGGTCATGATAGACTTCTCATCTGGCTTGTCAACATCCACATCTAGACAATTAAAGAAAACAAAGAAAATTAGAGGTGAATAGCATAAAAATGTTACCTAGCTGTCTAAGCACTCTAATTTAGAGTGTTCGATTTAACTTATGCAAATAGTCTAAACTTTATTCAACTATGTTTTAGGTACCTTCTGGATCAAGAAGCTTTGGGATTCCTAGTTCTGCTTCTGCAAGCGTGAAGGCTTCTTCCAGGTTTTCCCTATTTGATCTTCCTTTCACTTTCTCCATGTCCACTAAATCTGGACGGATAGCATAAATAATGGAATGAAATGCAACACCACTCCTCCAACTTTGTCCAAAATCTTTGATTTCTATTCCAACTTGCCTAAAAATATGAAAGAAAAAAAGTGATTCACAAGGACATCAGGACTAGGTCTAATAAGAGAGGAGATGAGAGACAATGAGCTTGCTAGTGGTAATATGCCGATGGTATTTTTTTGACAAATGAACTGCACTATACATAGAAGACATACCAAATTTGCAGATTTATTATTTCCTTTTATTATTCATCCCCTCATTACTGAATACTTCATACCTCTCTATTATAACAACTGCAGTCCAGATAAGTACATCAGCATTGTTTAAAATAAATAAAAAAAAGCAGAAACTCACTAGTGTCATCTGTTTTCTTCTAAAATGAAAGCCTGAGCCACACTATCACTCAAATTCCTTAAAATTCTTATCTAAAACTACAAATTCATGAATCCAGAACATTACACTTTTCCTAAAAAATAGAAAAAAAAAAAAAAAAAAAAAAAAAAAAAAAAAAAAAAAAAAAAAAAAAAAAACATACCCCAAAAAAAAAAAAAAAAAAAAAAAAAAAAAAAAAAAAGGGAGAGAGAAAAACCTTTTCAAATCACTTTATCTTTTTTTTTTTTTAAATATATACTTAGTCTGAGCATGTAAACATCTTTTTAAGTTTTCTCATGGAAAAAGTATCTCTTAATGTTTCATTCAAAATACACTTAATTCAAGAAAGATTTATCGCCTTTGGGGGCACTTGGCCAACCATTACACATTACAGTGTAAACAAATGCTAGGCAAAATGTACTATCATTTCTCTGTGCTTTTTATAGTCTGTCCTTCTTTCACATAATGTGGACAATTTGATTTATGGACCTCTCTTTGCTGGAATTTTATATGTTTACATCTCTTCATAATTTGCAGCTGCTTACTTTCAATTCCTCTTACCTCTTACTGGCAAAATTGCTGTAGGAAGAATGCCCAATTAGACTGAACTGACTTACAAGTTATTGTATTCTACCTATTTATTGAAGAGCTCAAGAAAATATATGTCCTTATGATTCTATTTAATTGTCCTGAGGCACTACTATTGTAGACCTGGCTAGTCCCCCTCCGCATTACTGAATGTATTTGAAGAAATATTCTTTTATGGTTTTGATTTTTAATTTCCTATTGTAGAAGCAATAATATTGTGGAACCAAATTACTATTGTTTCTTTGATCCAATTTATGGATTTTTTCCTCCCTTCTGTAAGCAGAACAAATTTGCAATAACTGCACCAAATTAAGGAAATACTCTGAAGTTATCAAAAGATTGCAAGCCTGAATCTTTGAAATAATTCAGTTTAAAAAGAATGAACATTCAGTAATATGATAGTTGTATCACAAAATCACTATAAGATATTCATGATTTTTAATGATCAGCATTTGCAAAGCAGTTCTAGAATTTATTGTTCCCTCAAGATCTGTTGCCGGGAAGTGCTATTTCAGTGTGGAACTTATATCGTCACATCAATTGTTTGGCAGCAGGACTAACATATTGTGATTGAGACAATATTGAATTCTCCTTTTCTGTTCCTCATTCCATCAAAGATAACTCCATTCATTATTCAAAAAATGTAATGGCTTGTAAAAGTAATGCAAATTATTATTTACTATTTGTAACAAGTAGTTGCTAGGAATATTTAGCAGCCCCAATTATCAAAAAAATATGATTGCAGATGCTATGTAAACACAGCAAAAGGACAGTCACTGACGGACTTAGTTTCAATATGAAGAAAAAATTAAGAAAAAAATTAAGATACAAATTTGTTAATGTATAGGTTACTCACTTGGCTGCTGTGTACTGTATCCATTTCAACAAAGCCTTCTTGGCACTTCCCTGGACCTTGGTTACCACCTTCCGTTTGCTTGGAGGACTCGCAGTTTCTGAGCTGACAACGCTCTCCATAGAAGAAGCGCTGCTAGACAATGACTGCAGCTGTGGAAGGTTGCTGGTCAGCTCTTCGATCTGTATTAAAAAGAGAGACACATAATCCTCTTAATTCTCATCACTTCCTTTAAAAATACAGGACTGAAATTAAAGTTGAATGGGACAGTTTTTGGCTTTATTTTAATTGTATGTAAAAGTACCCTTGAAAAATCTAATTTATGTGTCCAGATGTCTGTCTTAATTTCAAAAGTATAAAACATCTAGGAAAAATTGACTTTTCTCACATCCTACAGCTAGACCAATATGCAAATGGGCCATATTAATTATGATCAAAACAGGAGATGGTGGTTTATATTTAACTTAAATTCAAATTATTAAAAAAGAAATCTTTTCATTTCAGAGGAGACTCTTTCAGCTTATAGAATCTGAACCACAATACCACTTCAAACCATCTTTTCCAGATGCTTAACCAACGGCCACCAGGAGTGAGCATCTTCTGCTTATGATCAGCTTCCTCCTCTTCCTAGCCCTTTCTTAAAATAATGAGAGCAATATTGATGATCTTATCTGGGTAGTGTTTTTATTTATGCCAAAAACAATACAGTGGTAAACTCAAAAGCACCTCTTCCTAGGAGTGTTTCTGTGATGGAACAGGGAATGCACTACAGGCGAACAGATTTATAGCACATCGTGGAATGAGTCTTCAACAGTGAGAACCACAGTTGTCCTGTATCTCTGCTTTCATTTGTGTTAAAATGAGATATTCATTTAAAAAATTAAAGAAAACCTCAAAAATGCTTGAGTAAAACTGATGCAGATCATTCTTAATCACTTGGAAAAGCATGACCTTTCCCCATCATGTCAGCGAGACACAAATAAAAATGTAAATGTCATTCTAGGTAACTTTTCAGGAAGGGAATCTGAACCCTTGCGATATTACACTGATTGGTGCTTAGGAGAAAAGCAGCCCCTGGACATATGTAAAATCACACCACAAAACAGCCAAAGCCAAAGGGCTCTACCAAGGAGAGCAACAAAAATATAGTTGTTTTTTTCAACCGCAGAGCAGTGACTCATTTTGTTAACTCATATGGTCACGATCTAGAAAATCGTTTCTTCCTCCTACCCAACTTCAAGGAACACAAATCATTTATGATTAAATCCCCTCTTCATTTACAGCTAAATTTTGTCCATGCAAATATCTGTATCTCCCAGTACATGTTTACACCTATTTACACCTAACACATTAATGTAAAACCTGGAAGACATCAATGGCACTGCAGCTGGACAGAGCACAAGCATCTTCAAGGTTGCTAAAGGTACTACACATTGCACTAATTCACAGTTCTTTTCCATGTTGTTTCCCTTGTTGTCCTATTATATTCTTCAGAAACAGAAGTGGGAGAAACTATCCCAGCAATAAAGGAACATCATTATGGATCAGATCAATCCATTCCAAAGACAGGTATTTACCCAGTGTGAAACACTGCTATCAGCAATGGTGGCTTTATTTAGGATGAGATGCTCAATTAGTTACAAAGACATTTAGATATCAGGACAGATTAGAATGACACCATACAAAGCAATGATTGGACATTATTTGAACAGGCTACACTGAATGACAAATACATATAAATATATATCATACCTGAAAATATAGAATTATGGTCCACACCAAGCCAAGAACTATAGAAGGCCTACCATCAGCAATATCAGTTGAGTTAATGTTGACAAGCTTAATCTATTTAGGAAAAAGAGTATATGTTACTATCACTCACATAAGGAATAATAACAATTATGAAATGGATTTCAAATAGGTTTTATATTTTTATGCATTTTTGCAAACAAATAAGTCTTTATACAAAAATAATGTTGAATGATGGAATTTTACTTTGTGTCCAAGTACAGTTATAGATAATGAAATTGTGGAAGCAATATTTAATTTCAAGGAGAAAAAAAGAATGTAAATGACATAAAACCATTGTACAAACCGGAGATCCTCTGTATACGGACTAGCATGAAAAACAAAGGGGAGAAGATGATACACACAACAACTTGAAAATGAAAAATGTATTAATTTAACTTTAGAATGCAAAGAAAAGACATTTTAACAACATTTTACAACAGAATTAACAACTAAAGCAAATTAAATATTCCATAGCAGACATACATCACAAATTACACAAGTTATTCTTGCTATAGTTCTAAATAGATGTGGAATGCAAAGAGGAAAGCTAATTCAAGAACAGATGAAAAACAGGAAAATGAAAAGCATAAAGCAAAGATAACAAAAAAGAAAATGGCACAGTTATCAAGTAGGGAGCCTTTTATTGTTAAGGATTTTATCACCACCTTTTAAGAGTTCCTAGAGAAACAAACATGACATTAATTCTTTAAAAATAAGTAAATATGAAAAACTGAGCTATCTGTGTTCACATGTAGTTATTCCAAATTCCCAAATGCTAATCTAGCACAGAAGACAGACTCATAAAAGTCAGTAAAGGAGGAGATAAATAAAAATAGATCATAAACAAAATTCGCAGGAAAAAACAAAACGTTCAAGGAAATAGAAAAGAACAGGCAGTATTGGAACATTAGGAAATATGGTGATCCTAATTCCCTTGGGAAAGTCAAGAGTGTCTGCCACCAACTGTGAAGTCAGTGTGAAGAGTAGTTGAAGTACTCATGAGCTGTAAATTTGCTCATGGGGGGGGAAAAAAAAAGATGATGGAATTGCTTTGGGGAAGTAGCAAAAGAAAAGCACAAGACTGACTTTAAGTAACCTGGTTCCTCACACAAAACAGAAAGATTACAGATCTCTGAATCAGCAGCTGGAAACCCAATAGATAATATCAAGAATGAATAGCAAAAAAAGGCAGGGCTCTTTATGAAATTAGAGCTCCACAGGCTGCTTGGAAAGAGAGAGAGAAGAAATCCCCACTGATTATATTTACAATTCCCTCCATCAAGAAAATCGATGGAGCATAATATTCCAAAATGAGATCTGCCAAATTTCAAGCTTTTTTTTTTTTTTTTTTTTTTTTTTTGTAGCATAATGGGAATATTTGCAGGAATCTGTCTGGTTAGTGAAAATAGGAAATTAGTTTAATCTGTAATAATCATTACTTACGAGACAGTCCACAGTGGGGCAGAGGACTTAGCAGTCCAATCACCTCCACTGTGAGAACTATATACAAATTTGAGGGCCTTCCACAGCCCATTTCTCTTTTCAACAGACATAACGTGGTTTATTGTATATGAATATCCCTCTTTTCCGCTCCTGTTTTTCATTCTTCTCCTCCAGTAGTGGGCAGATGGGATCTGAGCTGGGTCATTCATCTAGTCACCCATTGCAATGGGCTACGTAGACTAGAAAAGCAAGGCTTGTACTCCTCACTCTAGACTTGGTTAAGGTTATACAGGCCTTAACAGGAAAGAAGCTCTCATTTTCTTTGAGTCTTCCACTCTCCAGTTGCATATAACATAGATTGCATTAGCAAACTGTAATACACTAACTAGTAAAATTGTGGTGTCAGGCAGAAATTTGATTTGTATATATTGTCTTTGATTTGGTTATATATTTTCAAAAACAACGAAGATAAAAAACATCTTGGTTTTTTTTTTTTTTTTTTTTTTTAAACAAGACTCTGATAATCCCACACAACTGGAAAGCTATTAGGTGAAGATGCTGTAGGGTTAGAGAGAGGAAAGGATGCCAAAATTCAATGACTCCTGGTGCTATGACATTGGGGAAAATAAAGTTAATACAAAAGACTGATATAACAAGAACAAAAATACCTATAATCTAATCTGAAAAAAGTTAATGTAATAAGTATAATACGTACAGAAAAAGAAGAAAAAAAGGGAGAAGTAGACTGCCTTTATACAGCATTCATATTTAAAACACTGAGTGGGTTTTTTTGTTGTTGTTGTTTTTTTTTTTTTTTTTCCCCAGAACCAATCCTGAAATCAGTGTGAAGTCCCACCAAACTAATCAGGGTCACATTATTCTAAATTCTTATCTCTGCATTTATAGGAAATAGAGTATTGCAAATATGGTCACTAGTGAAGTCCATAAATCTATGCCTGTAACTATAAATTGATAAATGATCCTCTGCTCAGGATCATTATGCCAAACTTTGCTGAGAAGAAGAAGAAGGGGAAGAGTTGAAGAGTGCAGAAGGGGGGAGGGGGGAAGAATATCATCCAAGGTGATTCTCAAGAAGAACTCAAAAGAAGAAAAGCTTTATCCTACAAACTGCTATATAGTAGTATACTAGTGCTGGATCTTGATACTGTTGTTCTACACATTTACAGCAGTTTTTAGGCACTATGTAGAAACTAAGACTGCACACATAGCTCAGATTTAGAACTAGAGCAGATAGGTGGATACAAATCATACCTTTATGGAGTAAAGAAGGAAAAAGTAAAGGCAAAAATAAAAAGACAGGACTAACTATAATCAAACCTACCCGCCTTCCTTCTAGGAACTTAAGAGCTGTACCAATGTTGGCAACCCAGTGAATTCTCTTCAGTTGACGTCCCTGCTCACATGGCTTAAAGAGAAAGAAACATGAAAGTCTCAATTAAATTTATGTCAATTTGCTGAAAAAAAAATCGAATTCTAGGTTGTTATAACTGCAAATGCACATAAGACAATCTGATTTACATGTACAAATATTTAATGGAAAAATCAAATATGGTTTTTAAATATACCAACATGAAGGAGTGATATACATATGACGAAAGTAAACGTTATAGTTCTATTATCAAGTATTACCAAAAATCTTACCTCGTGAATTTTCGAAATGTTTGTTCAAATTTTAAATATCCTTAAATTATTTTTCCTCAATTCATGTAGGATTTTAAAAAAGACAGAATTCCTTTAATTAAGGATATATTCTAGTCTTCTAAACATTAAACTCAAATTAAAAATTCTTCTCCAAGTCTTATATATTAAGGTAAATACATAGCTACTTACTACATTTTAAACTCCCAGTCATAAAACTGCAGACAGATATCACACAAGTTCACTAGAGATTATGAAATTCCTTTTGCAGTTTCTGCAGAGGATCATAATCTGCTATATATGACCTGTAAATTAACCAGGTAGTGCGCTGGTCCTGTCATCTCTCTCATCTTTCATAGATTAACACAGGCAGCATACAATCCAGTGAATTTCAGAATCACTGGTAACTGCATTAAAATTATTTTCCTGTTTTCCTGCTTAGGTTTCACCACAAGGGGGAGACTTTTTTTCTTAGACGAACAGAAACAGAGAAATTGGAACATTTTGGCAGGGCAGAAGCACAGCAGAAAGCAAAGCTTCTTCTCTCACGCTACTACCACTCTCGCAGTCTGAATTACTATTTAATTTTGGCTATTGTCCAGAATGAAAAAATTCACATGACATTTCAAAAGAGCAAGCGACCCTTCCAAATTACTTGAATTCGAAGAAACAGGTGACTTTTGCAGCTGCCAGAGCAGCAGGCAGACGGACTGCTGCTCTGCTCTTGCATATGCTGCTACCTGCTATGTACAAAGGGTGAGCAAGTGAGAGCCCTGGGCCAAAACCCCATCATTTCCCTCCTACATCACACACAGCAATAACCTGGTTCCCTTGCCATGGACACAGTGGCAGGGAAAAGTCATTTGGTATCAGCTAAGGTTCCCTACTGCAGCAAGGCAGCCCCCAGGGCAAATGGCTTTTAGATCCCAGAGAAACATTAGGTGCTCCCTGTTTTCTTAGAGAGAAAGGGATAAATTAAATAATGAAAAATTTTCGTGTTTAAGATTCATTGAAGTGCATGCTAGGATTTCTCACCTTGTCTGTGCATCGTACTAACACACAGATGAAAGAAAACATAAACAAACAACTTTTATAAACTAGTAAGACCAAATTAATAATAATAATAATAATTTCCATTTCTAATAACTTTTTTATATTGCAACCAAATAGCGCCCTCTGTGGGTAAACATATGGTATTTAATTATAGAAATATATCAGAAAATTATACCCTAGGAGTTCTGCAAATATATATTCAGAAAGAAGAAGGTTCTTACCAGTTTCTGTCCTGAGAGGACTTCCAAAAGGGCTATCAGCATTACCCCGTCTTTGATATCTTCAAACAGATCATTGACCAACATGGGAGGATTGCGCTGAAAAGTGAGAAGACTTCAGATATAATAACAGTTCACTCGCATTGCAGCATTCTTCCCTTTCAAACATATAGGCAGAGAGTTTTGGTCCCCTTTACTACGTTTTTTAATGCTTAATATCACAGAATCATTTAAACATCGCTTTGTCACCATGTTGTCTATCTATGGAACATCTCTGGCACACTAGATGCCTTCTCACACTAATGATACAAAGGAAAAGATGAAACCAGACAGATGGACAAATGCATGTGAATCTATAAAATACACTCAACTTATGGATGTAGCATTGCAGTCGGATTTCAATTTATCAGGCTTTTTTTTATCCTAGTTTTACAGATGTCATTGCAATTCCACTCGTTTGGTCTGAAAAATGAAATGTATGAGGGAAAAATCCTTTAAGCAGGAGTGTGGCTTTTTGATCCACAATACTACTCTCACAGCTGACATTTGTTTTACTAAATCGCTGTAATTTTTCTCTTTTTTTTTTTTTTTTTCCTCCAGGCTATGTAGTCTTCCAGTGCTAAGCTATATATCAGTTTCTACTTGTTTAACATATGTCCTTACATTTACAACCACAACAATGATAATAATGAAAAAAAATGCATAAATGGATGATACTTACTCTGAATAACAAGGTCACATCATTAAACTTTCTTAAATATATGCCAGTATATTAAATTATATTATGAGCTGGTCAGTACTTCAATCATCAAAAACATTTCTCTTAGTAAAAGAAATATGTGTGAAATTTGTAAGAAATGAAAAAAATACATCTTGCAGCTTCCACAATGTGTTAAAATAGCTGTTTATTCACATACTTCTAATGTTCATATCTCCTATTGACTAAAATGACAATCATTGCTGTTCTTGTAAAAGTGATATAACGAAGCAGAATAAAGGAAAGCTCCCATAAGGGTACTAGTCTCCAAAATCAAAACACTCTACCTTCATTGCTCAGTTAGGATAAATTAATATAAAACAAACAAACAAAAAAACCCACTTTGTTATAGTGTGAAAAAAATAACTACTTTGTACAAAAATACTTAAAGTCTCTAAGAACCACAGTATGAAAATAGTACATTTCTTGCATATACAAAACATAGCAGTATTACAACTAATTACTAGGATATGTTTACTCAGTTATTTTTACATTCCTCACACTGCAATTCATAATGGACTGTGTTCATTCACAAAGTAACACCAAAGAAATCAACATAGCAACCAGGTCACTGCCAATTAATTTGCCCCGTCTTGCTTTACAGGCACTTGACATAATTACAATTATTTTTTCATCACCTTCTGTGTTATTGCTCCCTGTTTGAAGCTTTCAGAACCTTTATTTTATCAGTATTTATTGCATGATAAATTGGCAAAAAAAATTAAAAGACATGGTGTTTATAGAAGCTTCCATGATATTCCAACTGCAGCTGAAGGCCTGGAAAATCTCGCCTATTTAGATGTGCCAGCAGTGAGTTCAACAGCAGTCTGTTGAAGTTTGCCATACAGTAGAGAGATATTCTTACCAGGAACAATTGAGAAATGTTTGGATGGGAGGGTAAGTGAAATTTATGGCCATCCCTATACTGATCTCACTGATCTCCAGAATATCCCTGTCATTTTGAGCACAGCTCACTTCCAGGTTTGATGTCCCTGCTCTGATATTAAGATCCAGGCCATGAGGAAAGACATAGCATCCCTATGCAAACGAAGTCTGGGAAACACCTCTGGTTTCCACAGGGTACAACACTAGACATCCAAACTCTGAACATCCTTGTCAAGCTCTTGCTCTGAACATCCTTCTGAAGACCTGTTGCTCTTCACTGACAGTAGATAAGGAAACTTGGAAACTTGTATCCTACCCTCTTACTCATGTAAAACAATGAAAATATTCCTCAAGACATCATCCAAGTAAATCACCTCCTGTAATACAATCCTTTCCAAACAAACCAGACGCTGAACATAAAAACTTGCATAACTTAGAAAATGAGGGGAAGTATGAAAAAGATTTGAAGTATGGAAAAGATGAGAAGCAGCAAAGAAACCACAAAATCACTTACATCAAAGTTAGTAAGACTGACTTCTGAGAAGTGAGAAACCACAATGGTTCTCCATAAATCGGCAGACTCAAATTTACTATCTGTTGCTGCAAGGTATGCGTAATTAGTTACAATTACTGCTACAATATGTCTTAATATCAGTACAACAGGGAACAGAAGGCAGTCACAACAAGTCTTACCACTAAATCTCCTATATATGTTTTGGATGTCAGCTAATTTTACATACTGCTTCATCAGATGAAGTGATTTTCTGTAATGTATGTAATGTATTTCACTACCCTGAAAATGTGAACATGTAATTTCAAGAAGATAATGGCCTCATTTAATTTCATAAATCATTTTTTTTCTACCCTGAATATAAAGCATAAACATTCATTTTGATTATTATTACTATGACTCCAATTTTTCTCAGAAGTATGGAATGAGTCATATTTTTAAATGGCAAACAGGATATTCTTTTACATAAATACCACACAAATAATAAGCCTTATTTTCATGCCAAGACACATGCATTTATGTAGACTTACTGAGAGTAGGAAGTTCATATGCATCTATTCAATGTATATGAACTATTGCACAGGACGACCTATACCGCATGGTTTTTCTTCCAGGTAGACTCTCTACTGAGAATAACAAAGACCAAGCCTTTTGTTGGAATGGATAAATAAACACTTGGCTGTATATGTTAATGAAAAGGAAGTTAAAAAGCAAATATATACATTGCTTACTTATTAACTTCCAGGAAATTAAAGGTTTTCTTGAAAAACAAACGAACAACAAAAAGCACTGTATTCCGTTATAATCTACTGGATACTATTCTATATTGTGAAGAATAAATGAGACTTAGCACCTATTCATCCAATGGCCATGGGGCACTGTCAACATAACATCTATAAGAAACATAAGGAAGTGAAAAACAACTTAAAATTCAGTAATCTTGAAAATATTGAATCTACTCCAGATTTTGGTTTTATGCTAATAACTATATGGCTCTAGTTGACACAATCTATCCTAAGGACCTTAGCACATTGTATTTTGAATGCTGGAAACCCTGTGCCATTTTTAAGGTAGGAAAGAGACTCTTTAAAAGGCATCTGAAATAATCATTTAAAGCAATATAATGCTAAAGGAAAGCAGTCATTTATCAGGTGCTTGAGCACAATTATTTGAAAAAACTCGGATTACGCTCTGATAAACAAGTAGACATTAAATCTACAATTTGTCAGGTCTCTAAGATTTCAAATGCCTATCGCTTTGTTTGAAGTTTTGATTTTAATTTATGCATTTCAAAAACATTTAGATTCTATTCTCCAAGAAAGCAAAATAATACTAATAACATTCTATATACCTGTTGAATGTAGTCAACAGTCATTTATATCTGCACTCAGATATATCAGATAAACTCAGACAAAACTCAGATAGATATGCAATCTCACAGTACTTTTTATAGTGACTACGACATTCAGGAACAGTCATACCATAGGACCAGACGGACACTCTATACAAGCAAATTCATAAGCTCTGTAGGAGGAATCTGAAGGAGCAGTAAATTAATTTTAAATGCTGGTGAATCAGATTTTTTCTTATTAAATATTTATTTACATAGTTGCATTTAGATGTGGGTCACAAATTCTTGAATTAATGAGGAAACGTTTTGCTTAAATTGCTTGCTCTGTCAAAGAGATCCTTATCACCGCAGCATACAGGAAATAATCTGAACAATTAAAAGTTCTTCACTTCAGTACATATGAAAAGTATTCAATTAATAAGTCTCCGAAAATAAAAGGAGATACGTACAAACATACAATTTCTCCAATAAAGGAAATTAATGATACAAAACTGTAAAAATCAGCCATCAAGCATTTGCTTGATTTGGCTGTTGTATTCCAATGCTTCTTCATGTTCATTACTCATTTGGAGCTTCTTTCCAAGAGGAATCTCTTCTTCACATCCTGTATTTAACTTCACTAGTAAATACATGGTACTGTACAAAGAATAGTATCAGTATTGTGAGTGCATCGATGTTTTGGAAACTATATTTACTACATTCATTTTCAAACAATATTTAAACACCTGCTAAAAAGTTGTGTATAAAGGCATCCACATGCACACACAAAGGAAAAAAGGTTAATCCTAGTACTAGGAGGCAGCCAGTGCTCCAAGGACTTACAGCAGAAGAGCCAGGATTCCTATTAATTTCCTCACTCATGTGCCACACTTTCATCGCGAGAAAAAATCTTTCATGGGTCAGAGTACTCCCTGTGTGTTCAGTTTGCTCTGACCTGGTAATTTCATGACCATGTGGGTAGTTCTTGGCAACGTGATGATAGGTGTTGCAACCCTGAGTGCACTAATAGTCTCTGATCTCCCTGACCAGCCTCACATGGGACCCCATTCACGGCCGGTGCCCAAGGCTCGGGAGCAGCACTGGAGCACGGCCACCAGCGATACCCGAGCTATGCTGGAGGGTACCTGTCTGGCCCGCTCCCCTGGGGAGACTTTACAGCATGCATGCAAAGTCCAATCTCCAGCTCTGTCTCTGGCACAATCTCCTTTTGCTCCTAAATAGAGTCCTTGGTTGGATCCCACAGCCACTTACAAGTACAGGCAACAGATACTCAATACTTACTTTAATTCTGAAGTACTCATACCCATATTATTATTATTATAAATGTTACAGTTTAGAAAGTCAACAAAAAATCTGTAATCTCCTTGATGTACTTAAAATAGCTGTTGAATTAGTTTCTGTTTCAGTTTGAGTATGACTTTACAGAAGAAAAACATTTGCTATGAGTTTAAAGGCTTCCTGTGAAGAATCTCTTTTACTGACAAACAAATCTTTTACTTAAAAACTCTGATAAACTACTCCATCCAGCTTTATATTCCCAAATTATTAATTTGTTTCAAAAGAATTATATCTCTTCTCAAAAAGTTGTAATAAGAGACAAAATAATATCATGAAAGCATCTAATATGAAAACATTATACTCTAGATCTTACTTAGACATATATAGGCCTATAATGAAAGTTTAAGCATAAGACAACTTCTCTTATCAGCCTCTTACTCCGACTCCCCCACAGATGAAAAACAGGAACGAAGAAACGCAAAGTACTTAGTTTCTTCAGGACATTTTTCACCTCAGTTGATAAACACGACCTGTTATGAATTCCCTTTCTGCTCTAGCATTCATGTTCAAAGAAGCAGACAGGAGACAGAGTTACCACATCAAGTCAGCAACTGAGATTTATATAGCAATCACAGAATACCAAAATCTTCGAAACAAACATTGGTAAATTCATGTAGCACTGTCTGCCACGCTCCATTGAGAACAAGAATTTTGGTCAAGGATGTACAACTGGTTTAAGTTGTTACTTAAATGACAATATATTTAAGTTATTTAAAAGAGCAACAATTAAACTTTCTTCTTTAGAAGAAAAAAATCTTCAAATCTTTACACCAGCAGCCAAGAAAATGAGACCAATTTAAAGTGAAATCACTATTAATTTTGAAGTCTATAAATATTGAGTCAAATTTAAAAATAGCTATTCTGGATTATATTCTAAAATAACTCTGGATTACCTTCTGGATTACATTCTAAATCACAAACTGGCATACATACTCCAAAAAAAAAAAAAGTCTATGCATTTAAAAAAAGTAATTGTAGATTCATCTATAATTACATGGGTAACACTTTTATAGGTCCTGCAACTCCTTCCACTTTAATCACAGTTTAATGTCCTTGATTTTAACAGTCACAGGCCCAAATGCAGGATGGATTTTAGTGCCTCAAACACCTTAGCTCACACTGAAGTTGATCGAGGACTTCTTTATTCTGATGTCTACAAGGAAATAATTTATTACTCTAAGGAAAACATTGAGGATAAGAAATGAGGTGCTCTGGTATAAACTGGCACAGCTTATGTCTCAGGGTCTCTGATAGTTGCCATATTCCTCTGTTATCACTGACCACAAGGTTACACAGATCGCAAGAGAGCTTACTTACATCTACTGATTGAGAAAGTAGTCATCATATCCATATGCATTTACTTGTTTTCAATAAACTATATAAACATTTTAGAAAGCTGAACATAAAATAAAATAGCATGAAAAAGCTTATCATAACTTCTAAAACACAATATATTCTCAGTTCACAAGCTTTTCTATTTATATGCCTAAGTCGGATAATGACCGAGATATCAAATTTTACCACAAGGTTCAATGATGACTAAAATGAAGGCATCAACAACAGTCAGAAAAATCCAAGATATCAAAATTAGCATTGTCCAAAAATTTTCTGGATGTACTTATTTTGAGAAGTGCCTGATTAGAGGATTGGTATTGCAACTTGTTTTTGGATAACAATTTAGATTTTGCTATTTGCTGATGCTAACATAGTGCGTATTTACTGTATTTAATGGTGACTTAACTAAAGATGCCAGTTCGGTTACTAGGTATAGTACAATTTGTTGTATCACATCCTAATAGATGTCCCCTCTTCCATATGACTAATCTGAGATCCTTAGCTGTTAGGACAACAATTATAGAAACTTGGTGCCATAGCAAATGAACTCTAAACACATGAACAGTTTGTAGTATATTTATTTATATTTAGCATGTTCCTTTAATTAGTTATTTATTGTATATCATATAATAAAAAGTTTCTGTAGCAGCTTTGTCATATAACCACTAGACAACACTTAAAGGTATTTCCAGTTTCAATATATCATATGTTTCTTTACAGTATTCTTCTGTTCTGTGACATGTAATGCAATACTTAAATAGTTTATATTTCATAAACATACCAGAAAGTCTGAAATATATTTCCTACATGGCAGAACAGAAAAGTTTTTTTTCACATACCAAAATCATTACCTAAGAAAAGTGATCAATATTTAAAGAATAAATTAATTTATAGTTCTATTACTCTAAATTAGTAATCATAAAAATTCACTATTTACAGCCCAGAAGTATTCTTCATCCAACTTAACTCTAAATAGAAATACTATAGTTTACATTGTAAAGCATCTAAATCAACAAGAAAAGAAAAGTCAGCCAGGTTTTGCATCAAAACTTCCAGAAATGACACTATTTCAGTATTAGGGTACACAGGACAGAAACAATACAATACAATTCAGATGAAAAATGAGCTAAAGCAATATAGCTTATTTTTAGTCTTAGAATTTTTATACAGTATCAACCATACATGTCCATTGAGCACCAACATAGTAATCAAAATATTTATCAAACTCATCTACATTGGTGTCTAAAAATCAATGCTCTTTTACTTTTTAACTTGCAACAAATGGTCTATGAACAAAACTCTAACAAGCAATGGTTCTGAGAATGTGTACAGTACAAATACTGAGGGTCACACAGCAGGTCTACAGTAGCCAAAAGTAAACACAAGCTCTAACCTCTGCCAAAGCCCGGAACACTATTTCAGGTAACTTTGTTATCCTCAAAGGCAAAAGAAACATTTGGCAAATACTGAAATCTTTGGTATAAAGCTGTTGAAAACACAATTACCTTGAAATCTTAATTCTTTCTAGCCTTTCTCTCTCCTGGGTGCTAAATGATGCAGGCAGAGAGCATAGGCAGAAAGGCTGTTTCTGTAAGTATGTGAGTCACACAGATGTAACATGGGCTAACACTTCCCTTCCTATAGCCTAGCCTAGTTTTTCCAGGTCTCAGCAACTCTGCTTTTACTTTGCTAGCAGTGCAAGACCAGCACTTTACTCTGTTCATCATCAGCTGCAGTTTTGACAGGTGCTCCACATTTTTACAGGATATGCAGATGAGAGCAGAATGAAGTCAAATTTGCTCAACTAAGGTATGCCAAGAATTTCAAATGTCCACAAATTATTTCCAATATTTTTAATAACAAAAATAGCATCAAACTATGAGAATCAAATATCCTAGTATTTAAATTTTCAAGTGGCATGAGTTACTCCTCCTCTTTGGAGTCTTAACTAAAATACCTCAGTCCAGAGCAAAATATCCTAACCGAGTTTCCATCACGACATCTTCTCCTTCCAAGAAAAATATCAGCTGATCATTATTAGCCCATTATACACTTTCTTATACACACACACACACATAAATACAATATACCTATATGTAAATTGATCATTATTATAAAATATTATTGCTTAATAAGCAATGATGCAACACATTTAGGAAACGAAGTAATAACAAATAGATAATTATTTTGCCCTGTGTCACCTTTTTCAATTCAGTTTGTAGCCAGAGACCAGGATGCCTCCACCAAACTACACAGCACCCAAAGCTTTATTCAAGTATGCTATAGGTAGTAATATTCCTGCTAATGTTCTATCTCTTTAGAAAGTAGTTTCAAATCTTTCCTCTGACATGAACAGCAGCTACTGTGCTTCCTTTCTGACTACAGTTTTGCCCAAAGGAGCTGAGCACCTGGCTGTAGATCCACTTGCACTGCTGCTGCTGCCTAAATCACTACCATACGGAAAGAGTCAAACACTGCAGCGTATGGATAATGTGGGTCAAGTTTATGCCATTCAGCTCAGCAATATCTGTAATCTTCTACGCTGCACAGCCTGCATGGATACAGAGAGTAAAAATTAACTTAAAAGCAATATTTTCAAAACCATATTTTACCTTAGCTAGATGAGTATTGATCCATTTTGTGAAAGTCCTCTTCTGCACTGACTCTTGCTCATCTGAAAAAAAGGAAAACAGTTTGCTTAGACATCGCTGTACACTGTTTGAAATATATGACAGAAGAAAAATATTCTGTAATGACAACAAATGCATTCTGTCTTTGTCAGAAACGCCACTATATTTTCTTGAGACAATCCTGTTAATTTTATACATAACTCTCAATGACAAAAGCTATATATTCTTTCATTAGTGCTCTGACACTTGCCTGTTTGAACAGGTTCACAGCACAAATCCAGTCCTAATGAATGACTGAAACATAATTCACCACTGCAAGTCTGAATGTCAAAAATAATTTGATTTCTATATCCATATTATAAGCACTGAAGGCAGCAGCTAGCTCTACTCAGAGTCCATCTTCCACAGATGGTAAAACTCCCATAGCATCTATACCTGGAATTGTTTAGCAAGCCAAATTAAAGATGTGAAAAGGCACAATAACCCTTGTCGGTCTTCTGAGAGAGGCTCCTCCAAGGAGGAGCCATGAGCTGGTTCAGACACTTTCTACACTTGTACTATCCTCCTTAACGCTCTCTTGAAGAGCTTGTCAGAGTTTATAGTGGGTTTTAACCATTCCCAGACAGTCCCTCAGGAACTGCTGCCAGCTGCGTATGGAAAAACAGCTGCTGAACTCGCTCCTGCCTTCAGCGGGAGCCAGGGTCACAGCAGAGAGAGGAAGGGAATCACGGCGCCATAACCTGCCCCCGGCTCCTGTCCCTTCCCTGCAACACATGGGTTTTGACACGTGCCGTAATTTTACACCAGTGGCACTCAAATATTTACACTGGGGATTTTCCTTCTGAAAAGAAAAGGAAATAGCTATTTCACTGAAAAGCTAATCACATCGTGACTATCATCAGCTCTGAATGAACCCCTTGCTTTCCCTACAGAAAATCTAAATAAATAATGAAATGTTGTTAAATAAATTATTTCTTTGAAAAAATGCATGCGTGCCACAGTCTACAGCTGGAAAATCTAATTTTAGTTCCTGCCTTTGCTGCTGGCTTCTGTGGTACTGAACAGTGATTTGATCTCCATCACATCTGTAAAATTAAAACGGAATATTCTTTAATCCCCTTTAAAGCTCTGGAATAGGTAACTAATAAGCTACTACTTATACCACTGGTAATAAGTTTCCAGATTTGCACTCCTATAATGCCGCTCCACAGTAAGAGTACATGTTAAGTGGGACACCAATGGTTCCCCGATCACAATGTGACCTACCAAAACATGTGCATTATGTCTCAGGGTTTTTGTTTCAATTAGTCAGAACAAGTTTTTTGAATGGTTAGTCACATAAAAGACAACAACAATATAGCCAAAATATACTATATAACCCACACTATGAGATTTACCAGAGAAAAATAAAATCCATACGTTTTCTAGCTCTTATTAATTACTTTCTAAGAAAATAATTTTAAATTTTTTAATTTATTGAGCAGCCTATCCTGCATCATTTTTAGAATATTCATTACAATTTTAGCACCTACTTGTTGCACTTACAGTTAAGTGATGAAAAGCATCACTCAGAATACTGCATCATGCCTTATTCAGTACCAACGGTTTGGGGCACAGTGGGAGGGTGTCTCTCTAAATCATAATTTTATCTGCCCTGCCTTGGAATCACAGGGTTATAGCTTTTCTTCCCACTCGCTCTTCTGACATATGCCAACTTACAAATGAGGAAGTTTTGATCCTTGTTTCAAAAACTAAAAGTCTTGCTTGCATACAAAAACATGCAAAGATATATGAGAGGATAACATTAAAAAAAAAATGCTGAATTTCAACATCCTGGAAAATAAAGTTTGGGTTAGAAAACATACAGACGGACTATATACACAGAGCCTTCCATATGCAATATATAGGAAGTGCCAGTTCTGCTCTGACAAGCTATTACTTATATAGGTAGCCCAATTCATTTCAGTAGAATTTGGCTGAACTTTTGAATTATATCCTGTCGATATGGAATGAAGAGAAAGACAGCACACCAATCCATCCAATTCTGACTCCATCCATGCCTCAAACTCAAACTTTCCCAGAAACAAACAGGTATAACAATAGCTTACCCAAAGATAACCGGGTCTTTAGAATACGTTTAATCAACGAAATGAGCCAAAACGATAGTTGTCTTTAAGCCCTAATCTACTTTGTCTGCAGTTCCCTAATTTGTACTTGATCCTGCATGTTTATCAACTGGACTTCTGTTGGCAACCGGAAATCAGACAAGATTCCTGGCTTCTAATTGTTCACCAGCAGCAGACCTACTCCACTCCTGTCACAGCAGTAAGCAGCAGAAATAGCCTATTTCAAGGCAATACATGAATAAAGCATTCTTCACAATCTCATCAATAACTTAATATAGACTAAGCACTAAAGAACGGAAACTTTACTATTATGTTTAGAAATAACAGATGCAATCAACTAAAACAACCTACGTCTGAATAAAATTAAACAGTGGATTGATTTTACAAATCCCACAACAAAAATACTTTTCCCAAATTTCTCTGACGTAAATACTCCATAGAAGAGATGCTTATTTACAACCACAAGATGCATGTGTTACATAGTTCTTCGTGCTCACCCCGCTTGCAAAGACGTCAGCGTTTTCCTTGCCCCACTTACCCTGCCGGTATGGGGAGAATCTAGGAACCAAATTTAACGATGAAACGTTTCTGCCAGCAGCACCTCTGTAACCAGCCATACGCGCTGCCTCTGCGGCTCCTCCCGGCTCGTGCAGTGAGGGTGCAGCTTGTATTTAGAACACAGCTACAAGCAATATTTTTAAGAGCAATGTGATCACTTGCTGCACTGAGAACGCTCTCCTCTTGCACCAATCCCTTCTCCGGCTCCTAGCAGAGAACTCGTATGGAGCCAGACCTTAAAAACATCCTTCTTTATTCTTGCAGGGATGCAACAGCCAGGAAAAGCCAGCTGTGTTTGAAGTAGCAGCTCTGCTGGTCTCCCCACCATCCTCCTCCTAGACTGCTGTTCTGAGCAAAGATTTTATTACCCAAGTCACAGCCAATCCGCTGGCAGAAACCTCTGATGTCAAGAGCCTGAATAATTCATCCAGAGCCTGGGACAACCCAAATACACTGCCGATATCCTCACGCTGCAAGATGCTGCACGCACTGCTGCAAAAACCAACTCAGTCTTCTCACCACTGCTTTTTCATAGTATACTACTCAGCAAACATAAAAACAGCTGAAAGGCATAGTCCTTCGCTAAATTGTCATACATATAAAAGAAAGGAGCTGTTAAAAATGGCCACTTGGGTTCATCACAGCATATTCTCTGTTTAGAAAGGGCTGACCTTCAGTTCTGTAACGGAAGCACTGAACATGGAGAGAGAAGGAAAAAAAAAACTAAAAGCAGTAAATTGGGCATGTAGGCCACTTAGCTTTTAATAATATATTAAAATTGATTTATAACAAAGATGAAAAATAAGGACACAGAATTTTTTTGAGCATAGATAAAACTGCCTGAAATATATTGATATTTCTGAAAATATACAGTACTTTCTACTTCATTAAACCAGAGCACCAATGCACTTGAACAGACTTTGTTTTGCTCTGGTAAAACGAACACAGTTACAAAACAGTAAATGTGGGGATTTGTGTGTTGTTCACCCACAGGGGTCAGAAGGGGAGTGCATACTATGGAGATGAGAACAAAAAGCCAGTTTTTAATATATTATATGTAATGTAGCATTATAAAAAGAGGTCAAAATCAATCCTAAGTTTACGTAAAAGAAAGTGACTGACAACATCATGCTGTGTATGAAAGAAACATGGCAATATAGCTTGGTTTAATTTAATCAAATGTCTTCCTTTAAATGTCTGACAGTCTTGCTATAGTTTTGTGTATTTTTTTTTCTATTAAAGCACTGGAAACTGACTTTACAGGCTGACTAAGAAAAAAGGTAAATAAAATTGGATGCATTTACTTCAAGTCAACTTGAAGAAAAAATTAGAAAATTAGGAAAAAATATTTTAAACGGTCAACAAATCCAACCACAATTTTGGGACAGTCATGAATGTGTTAATTTTATAGCCCCCATGCATGCCTATTATAATGCATATAGTCATGCACAGCATGGATGAGGAAGGGGGAGTAGCAGCACGCTTACTCACAGCGCTGTCTTAGACACAGAGCTTCCCAAGCGCCCCAGCCTCTGCCTGCTGCCCACGGTGCAGCCTTCCCCCAGCTGCAGCGCCAGGGACAGGACAAGCTGCAAGGTGACACATGGAGGAACCTCACACGACACAGCTGAGTCTGCACACATGGGCCTGGCTATCGGTCTATTGACCAGTTCTAGGTGACTTAATATTTGGGAGGCTTCTTGTGTCTTTAGTACAATGCAAGGTGTCCACATGTCCTTTTTGACATGTTATCTTTTATGTTTTGCTTGCTTTTGCTCATTCTGCCCTAAAATCCAAACAGCTTCCAATTTTTATTTTCAGCTCTTTGGAGCCTTTAGAAATACTATTAAAATAACCTGAGATCATGGATAAGGAGGAGTGGAGAAGCATGCCAAACCACCTACAGTTTTTCAAGATGTTACTTGAGAACACGTCACAGCACAGAAAGTGGTAAAGAGCAGGGAGAGCTGGTTTGGTCAGCTGTCTGCAATAAATTCTCTAAAGCTTTAAGCAAGAAAATTTGTATTACAATTTCCATTTCTACAGACATTTTTAACTTAAAAACAGCCATAGAAAAGTTTGCAAAGTCTATGCAAAAATACAGATGTTTCACACATGAAAGGAGCAATGTTTTAAGCTACATGCATTTAACCCAGTTGCCTCCATAACAGATGGATAACTCCATTGAAGAGTACTATATAAAGGAAAAGCAGGAAGACTGAGTTGCTTGAGTTTGTATTTAATGTATTTTTGGGACAATGCCAGACCTGTTTTGGTCTACTAAATCAATGCACATTGATGGTAGCTTTAAAGCTAGCATATCATTTGTTGCTATGTTTAGCAGTAGTCCTACACGCTTTAGTCAGGAGAAATAAAGGATTAGAGTGCTACAGGCAGTAAGAGCAAAATAAGATGGAGGAGGGAAGAATTACTATCATAGCCACTTCAGGGCAGCTGACACGACAGTTTAGCAATATTGATACAAAGAAGGGGAGTATGTTCTTGAGTCAGCCATTTAGTTTTTTTAATATATCTGTATTTAGATTTTATATATATTATATATATATTTTTTTTTAAAAAAGGAAAAATCCAGGATCCATCAGGTTTCCATCCTCTGTCCAGTTCCCCAACATGAAAACAAGGGGGAATCCAATCTGGGCTTCCCAGTGTACACACCAGTGCTCTGTCTACAAGCAACCTTAGCTCACACTCTTGCACATTGGGGTGTAACAGGCACATTTTACATGCATAAGAAGGTCTTCATTTTCCTATGTTCCTAAGCTAAAGTGTGGGAACCCGAGTAAAGCACGGTTTGCTGATATAATCTTGATGCTTAGAAGCTAGGGCAAGGGGAGGAGCACACCGGCCCCACACTCTGGGCACTGCTGTAGTGTCCATAACATCTCTTGACCTTGATCAGAAGGGTTTCTCCCACCTGTTAAAGAAATTAGTGAGAACAGCATGAATGTCTGCAATGGATTGGAATATCACAAAAATAACATTGTTATGACCCTTGTGCATCTTTTTCATGCCCATTCTCCTTACTTGCTTATATTTTCTTTTGGACAATTGAAAGAAAGAATTGTGTTCCAGACAGGGTACATTTTATTCCCCACTTGGAAAAGCAGAACATAGTCAACTCAATCCATAAATATATTTATATTTTACATTTACTGAATTTCTGCCTTCATTGCTGTTCTACTAATATTCTTATCTTTGTGAACATTTGTCTTCATCTCTCATATGGACATAAATACATTACTCTTTTATAACATCAGCACTCAGCTGAACAGAGTTGGAAATGAAACTGGAAGTGAACATCCATTAGAAAAAACTAATACAAACTCATTTAATTCACTTTTCAAAGCTCCATTGCAAAAAAAGATATTAAAATCAAGATAGTAAACTTTTAAGATGGTTATCTGCAATGATATTATTCATTTTGAAAGGTTCAGGATTAGCTGCTCTACAGGTATCTATTTGTCAGTCATGAACTAAGTACTCGCACACATACCTCAACCTGGACCTATACGTAAGGTGAAAGAAGTCTAATGCGACTGATCAGAGTCCACTTGACACTTGCTTGTTTTATTACTTCTTTATTCATCTTCCTCAAGTGTATGCTTTAAGAAGAATTTTTGATAACAACTCATTTGGAAATCCAGAAAATCCAGTGAGGTTCATTAATAAAAATGACTACCAAGATTATGATTTAACCTAAATATATAAATGTGTGTGTAAATATTTTTTTTAAAGTATACATGTGAAGATAACAGGGGAGTTTAAGAACAAACTTTTCATGAGTAGCTCTAGATGCAGACAGCTGGAACGCGAGAAAAATATATTCTCCTGTCTCTTGAAGGGACTGTTTGTCCTCGACAGTTTTCTTGTGTGTATTTTATGAAGTAAAATATATATGTATACAAGTACTTTCAGGAAACATAAAATTCATCATAAATAGACTGAGATCCTAAATTCCTTTATGCACCTATACTCGTGTCTTTCCACGTCTCACACATAACAAGCTCTGCTAAAATCTACCCAGAAGAGTGCCATTAAGTACAGAGATATCTTAGTCTGGAATCTAAGGAGTAATTTTACACTCAAGGAGCATATTTAACATGATGTTTTACAGTAATATCTAGCAGATTTATTGTGGTATATGTTTGAAAATTCAAAATATAGTCTCCAATTCCTTACACTATATTAAAAATGTTTACTGAACAAATATTTACTACCAACAGTAAGATTAGTATTCTTCCATGCTTATAGTGAGTTGAACACCTTAAAAGGAGAGAAAGTGTGACTTCAGCATGAAAGAGCTTAAAATCTACTGAGATAAAGCTAAATTAAAGGAGACATACTAGCCACATGTAGATTAAGACATTAAATAAGGCTGCAGGGGTGCTGCATGTCCACAGTGCATAAAAATAAAGCACATGTGAATAATGCTTGTCTTCCAGAAAGGGGGGGGGGGGGGAAGGAGAAAAAAAAAAGAGACATTCTGTAGTCATCTCAGTGACATTTTTGCCCAGGGCCACTGAAATGACAATGGCATACTAAAGGTTTATAACAAAGAAGAATTCTTATTATTTTTATTTATTCTGCCCTAAGTCTAGGCAAGTTTTCTCTTGAAATCATTTTGGAATAGTTGCAACAAATTTAAGATGTCAAACTCAAAAATGTCTACCTCCGGGAAAAATATGCAATATTTTTTGAAAGTTGAATTAGGCTCAATATTTTAAAATGCACTCGAATCAAATTATGCATCATTGCATATTCATGCCTTTTGAAGTCAGCAGCTTTATTACTACAAGTTAACAGCCATTCAATATTATTAGAAAACAAATGTAAGACATTATAGCTTTTCATTGCATTTATAAAATTATACATATGTTCCTGAATCTTCCAAATCAGGACCTTAGATATTAACTAACCTTCCAATTCTGGATCACAATATAACAAAGCCACACATGAGCACATATAAAAATCACTTCCATAGGAAATGCTATTTCTTATGCTAATCCCTTACCTCATTAAGTGAGAAATCTAGCATCTC